CGACATTTCCAGCGTGTGGGAAGGCAGCCCTGCACGGCGGAGCCAGGACAGGGGGCAGGAATGATTAAAGGTCCCGGGTCAAGCCAGCAACTGATACCGAGCCAGCAGCCCCGGAGACAGGACCGAGATGCAGACAGGCTGGGGCCGAGATAAGGGCACCCCAACAAGTGGAGTAGCTCAGCGGACCGAGTTAAGGTCCCGCCGCCTCCCTCCCTACTTGGGGAGACAGACTTTGTGCTTTCGTAAGCGCGTGTCCGGGCGTGTGCAAACAAACACACGCACACAGGCGCGCGTGCACCAGCAAATGGGCGGATGCTTACACACGTGCAAGCACCGCCGAGGGCGGTGGCGGGAGGAAATCGGCCTTAGGGAGCGGCCCCCTGGGCGCGCCGCACCCCTGAAGAGGATGAGGGCGGGGTCCCTTTGGCGGGGATGGGGTTACCAGGGTCTTGGTGTTCCCATACACCGTATTTGTTTTGATTTTGCTGCTTTTCCGCTGTTCCCGAGGCTCTGACACCAGTCCCAAGAGCCCGCGCCCATTGGCTCCCAACCCCTCTGGCCATCCCCTTTCCCCTCTCCCACAAGCCTCTGTGTCCCCACAGAGGGTGTAGATTTTACTGCTAATGTAAAGACTGGAGTACTTCTTAGCCCTTAGCTTGTCTCTAGGACCCCAAGCCCCAAAACAACCAAACAGCAAGTAGTTATTGGGCAATTTCAGATCCATTTTGGGAGTAATCAGTGATAAATTATAAAAATAAGAAAACATTTATGTGTACCTATGGGTTTAAGATTGGTGCCCTGGGGCCACCATGCACTTTAGAGTGTTTTCCAAGCACATCGTTCCACTCCAATTTGAGAAGGGAGGGAGAATGGAGAAAGATGAAAAAAAATTTTAATCCCACCATTATTGATGCTATTAGCTTTATCTTTTCTCAATTCAGTTAAAAGCGCTATCCCAGTGTGATGAACCAGCTTGAAACAATATTGCATGTGAAAGAGGAAGGAGGGATGTTTAGGTTGTGGAGAAGCTTGAGAGACAGGCATGCTATGCTGCTAGTTTCCAGTGTTTGTGGGACTGCTGTGGGGAAACAGACCGGCTGCACTAGCAGAAGTGAGACCCTTGGGTGCATACCTGGAAGCAGGCCCAAGGTTTCCAAAGAACTTTTAGAATGATTACAGGGGTTCCAAGCCTACTGATTATGGGGCATCTTTATAAAAGCAACTGCTGCACCGAGCAGGGAGCTGAATGAACGGGTTCACCTTTAAGGCCCCTTCCAACAATCCATGGTTCTCCGGGAAAGCTGAGGGGAGGGAGGGGATGGATAGCCCCGCCCACAGAAGACAGCTGCAGAAAGGAGCATAGGCCTTCTGGGACTTCTTGAGGACAAGCAGCAGGGCATTTTCCTGCCCCTAAAGCCTGGATACTTGCTTACCCACCCTGGGCAGCATCCTCTTGTCTCTCTCAGGGATAAAATATGTGCCCATTTCCCTTGTCACCAGTCTTTTCCCACCTGTCAGAATCCTTGCGACTAAGAAGGGCCACATCTCGTTCATGTTCTTCCTTGTTCTCCAAAGATGGTGAAGCTGAAGATCTTCCAATTCCAGGAATCCTGGCCATACCCTCTCTCACCAGCAGCGAGCGTCTCTTATTCTCTAGGGCTCTGACCTGGACTCCAAGATAAATATTTAATGTAGACGGTGCAGCTGAGCTGACAAAGGTCCTCACTTCCTGTTTCTCACAAAGGGAGGTAGCCACCAGGGGCAAGGAGCTGGGGACTGGCTACCAGTTTCATCTCTATGGGAATAGGGAGTCCAGTAAACAGCTTTGTAGGAGGAGGCCTGGTAGGTCCCACTGGAGACCTGAGCCTTTCTCCCCAGTTGCTCTGACTTCTACCTGTCTACTTAGGCCCAGGCTCTACTGGGCTTATCACCTCTCTCAGATCAGAACCTGCTCTGCCCTTGATCCAGTGGAAATTTCTCTCCTTCTGAGCCTTAGGCCATGTGCCTAGACCAAGGAGGAGCTAGAATAGGATCCCTACAGGTTCCCTGGTGGCCATCCAGCCTCATGGCAAGGAGGATGAGAGATTGGTGGGAGCATAGAGCATAAGGAACCTTGACTGATTCCTCCTTTCCTGCCCACATTTAGGGACAAGAATCCCTCCTAGAAAAAGTGGAAGATTAAGGGTTGGGGGGGGGGGAGCGGGAAGTAGCAAAGTCCAAAGATTTAGCCAAGAAACAGGTATCTGATTTCTCGACTCTTCCCTCCACCCTCAGTTCTACTTGCTGCTGGCTCAACCCCACAGACAGCTGGCATGCTTTAGGGAGAGGCTAAGGATAGAGAAGGCTGTCCCAGGTGACAGACTGTTGTCAACAACAAAAAAATTCTTTTCATCCCAATACACTGTCTCCTCTGGTGACTCCCTTATCTAACAGGGACCTCCCTCCCTGTGACTCTTCCCAGTCTCTGGCACTGCCTTCTGTCAGGGGGCTGCCTCTGCCTTCTCAGAGTCACCTGAGCCATAGTAAACACAGTTACATAACTACTCTGTTTTTCCTAGCTATCTGATCCTGGTCGGGAGTATGCCCCACCCCCACCTGATCCTCCAGCTTGCCACCTTTTGTTCTGTGAATTATCCCATGACACTCATGTCAACAGAGATCTGTCCATGCCCACCACCCTGATTAGCCAAGAGACTTCCAATAGATCTGGCTCTTCACATGCAGCCTCAGGAGAAGAAGGTGGCTCTTCATACAGAGATATGGGTCACTCTGAAAACCAACCTGTGTCACCAAGAGGAAGGGTGAGTGGAAAGAGCCCTTAAGGAGCTTTTTATTGTAAGTGAGCAGAGAGTTCAGTTTTAGTTCTCAAGTGAGGAAAAAGAAGCCAGGGATCCCAGAAGACATACACCTGAAGTCCCGTTTCTTGAGGAGTTTCCTTATCTAGTACTGGGAGTCTGGCATTTGAATGTGGCACTCAGATCCACCCTAGAGCAGCTAAGTGGCTTCCTGGCCCGGTGCCTCAGTCCTTCCACATTAGGCAAAGGAAGGGCATCTGCTATTCCTTCTCTTCTCCTCCACACGGATAAACTCTAGTATATTCTTTGGTTAGGCTTTGAGCAAATTTATTCGTACTCTCAGAAGAGTGTTCTCTTCCTGCCAGGGGAACAAAGCCAGCAGACCAGAGCGGAGTGAAAAAATACCCACCACAGGTCAAATATGGTCAGTGCTGGGGCCCGGCGGCTGGGGCAAGTGAGTGGACCTTCACGGGGATGGAGGAGGCGGCTTCCAGGCCTGCCTTGCACAGATCTCCCCCTAGCACGCACAGGACGGAACAGGCGACACCTATTCAGGGTCCTCTGAGTCAGTCCCATTCCAGCCCGAAGGCTGCGAGAGAACTCAGCCCTTTGTCCAACTGTCTAGTCTATATTCAAGGAAGCCTTTACAATGACATCACATCAGAGACTGTTCTCTCTCCCTCCTTTTATAGATGAGTGAACAAGTGTCACGTGCAGATGTGGTGCCTTTGAGAAGAGCTGAGCTGGAGGGACCTCTTTTAGTTCTCAGGAAAGAAAGAGCGAGCCAATGGCTGTCAGCTCTTTAGAAAGCAGGTTTTATAAGGGATGGATAAATAAATGATGACCTCAGAGGGAAAACCCAGCCAAGTTAACTCAGCCACAAAGAAGGGCACACAGACCAGGAGCTGGAAAAGTAGGTCTGCATCAACCTTCTCTCCTAGTGCAGGTAAACTGAGATGAGGAAGACAAGACGGTTGATATGTTGATCAGAGCACAACTTTATGGTGTCCACTGGCCTTCAAAGTAGGACTTTGTCTTCCCACTCCTTGATTCTATGATGAACCTTCCCCTGAACTGCACCAACATTAAAAAGCCTAATTTCCCACTGTTACGAATCTACTAGATCAACATCAGTTTCTTCCTAAAACCTGCAAGTCACGATAGAAAAACCAGAAAGACCATGTAATTACAGGCAGCCAAGTAGGGGTTGAGTCTCCATGTAGTGGGAGGTAAACATGAGCTTGCATTTTAGCTCTTAATTTCCAGTATTTTAAATAATTTTTTTCACAACTCTGGAAATAAGGGCAAACACTGCCTCATTTTACTCAATGTTTAGCTGCGGTATAAGGACATTGCTAAGTCAGGATGCTATTGGGGAATAACAAAGATCCCAAAATGCATACCCAGCTTATTAGAAATCTGGGCTTGTTTTTAGGCCTGTAAACTGCACTGTGGCCCTTGATGTGGCCGTACTTTTGGTAAAACTGCGTTACTTAGGCCTGACAGGGCCTCGATTTAGACTTTCTGCCTCTACTGCCAGAACTGATAAAACTCCTTCAGATACGTTTTCCTCTGCAAGGGCCCTGGGTGCTTGCCCTACCCTCAATCCTCCATTTATTTTCCCTTCTGAGTCCATAGCACCTCAGGGTAGTTCTACTTTCAAAGGAATCAAAAGGCTGGTCTTACACTTCCTTTTCTTGTTAGTTCAGCTCCACATTCAACGCCTCTCTGGCTCCTTTGACTTTTCCCAAGATGGAACTCATGCCTGTTATTATTAGGATCATATGCAGAGTTATTAAATTACTACAATAAAAAGTATTTTTAATATCTTTTGTAAAGACTACACATTTTCTGGGATGTCTTTCTTCCTTTTCTACAAGTAGTGGCCTCTGCCAGAGAAGCAACAGAAGGAGCTGGAACTTGAGTTAGTGGTGGGCAGAGTGCTGGGAAGGAGGCTGGGGCAAGGCAGTGGATTCTGAGTGGGAGAGCACCCTGCAGCCACCAAAGCCTGTCTAAAACTAAAGGAAGGGCTGAAGAGGGTGAAGGAAAGAGGTCTTTTTTTTTTTATTGTGATGAGATTCCTTTATCAGAGACCAGACCAGACATCAAACACCAGGCCTTCCCTTGACTTCTGGAATTATTTAATGGATAAGAGCCAAATATAAGTGCCTCTAACAGGAAATAAAGGAAATAAAGACACAGGAAGCCAATAAAGTTATCATTTAATTTTAACAGTGCTTTTTTCTTTTTAAAGATGACTTCCAATTTACAATAAAATTCGAACAGATTAATTTCTTGATCACAAAAAAGACTTGTTCACTTCTGCCAATAAATAACATTTTCACCATTTTCTTAAACATAACTGAAAGCAAGAAAAAGCAAGTAATCTCTCAGCACAAGCACATAATCTATCATTCAGAAGAGCCTTTAAAAAAATGACCATCACCAGCTACTCTTATGTCTGACCACCTCAGGAAGCGAAACCAGGATCCTTTCTTAGAAAATGCCTGCTGACATTTCTATTAGGAAAAAACAATATTGGTCACAGTGCACTGAGAAAGGAAAAGGTGCTCATGATGGCATCTTCAAAAAGGTTCTCTGACAGACCAAAAAATGTGTCTTTACTGCCGCAAATCAAAATCTGTGGTAGGCCTCCTTATTACATGCACTTCCACTTTAACATGCAAAACAAAACACAACAAGTTATTTGGAGATAGCTACGTCAAGGAAGTGAAGGGAATCTGGGCAAGAACTTACAGGAAGGCAATGTGCATGGCCCTACTTTAGAGCTGCTCGGAGGGATAGTCCACATCCATGTCCTTGCTTCTTGATCTTAAGCCACCTTGACTTGTCATGAGGGTGTAGAAGAGGAGAACATGCATAACCCTGTCTCAGACAAAGGTGTTATTTAGCCAGTCTGGCCGAGGTTGCTGGGGTGTGAGGCCAAGGCCTCCCAGGAGGGAATATCCTCTCCAGTATCACCTTTACCTTTGTGACTGCATAGATGAAGGCAGCTAACCCTGGCCCCATTCACTCTGGCTGGCTAGACATAGGCAGGGCAGGTCACAAGTCTCAGAGTAACACAGGTAGCCTCTTTCACACCCTGTCAATGGCACAAAGCTTTACTGTTAACGCAGTTCTCTGTACAACTCAAGAATAACAACCCTGTTTTTCGACTACACAGCTTTCTTCCCCTACATACACATCTGCTCTCTCTTCAGGCTTTCCTATGAGCATTTGATCACAGCAGTGCCGAAGAGGGGCTGTGGCAACACTGCTTTGGAACTACCCTCCAGGTCATCCAGACCCTCCTCCAGCTCTTGTTGGGGGCCCCCAGGCTGCCCTTTACTCCCTCTTATAGCAGACTTCAGGAAAGCTGTGGACCAGGTGCCAGACAAGGTGGTATCTATCCATCATTATAACCACAAATGATTTAGGAAATTGGAGCCTCATGCCCACAACTGCGGCTTTGGGTTCACCTTTCCCCTGAAATCATTTCTGCCTACATAAGAAAAACTGAATAATGCTCTGAAAAAAAAAAAAAAAACTTGGGTTCCACTGTTACTATAACAACTATAATAAATAGTGGGGATTCTAGAATGATATCTTAACAAGTCTTTATGGGTTCAGGAATACTTTTCAATAGAAAAACTGGAGGAAAAAAACTGGTAATACAAAGAAAAACTATAAATTAGTCAACCTGGGGCAAGCTCTTCCTAATTATTTTAACTTAAACGGTTAATTCTCAATAACTTCAATTTTATATTTATAGATAAAGCATGGTCAAAAATTCTGGAGATCAGCTACAATATGTACATAAAACAAAGGAGGGTGGAGGGAAGTGATTTTAGCCTTGCTCCTTCAGAGAGGCTGGAGAAGACCCGCGAGTAATGACCATGAGCAGTAAGCCCAGCTGTGTGTCATGTAAGCATGGTTTGTAATGTTCTTACAAAGGGCAGCTGCTTCAAACTTTGTTTTAAAATTACTTAGAAGAGGATCTGTGAGACAATGACAAGGCTGAAAGGGCCCCAAAGTTACCTAGTTTTAAAAACTCCCACCCTTGCTCCTTAATAATATTAAATAATAATATTCTGTTGACAAAACAAATAAAAGGATTTTTCTTTTCCTATTTTGAACAGTATCAGGAAGTCATACCTAAGTTATTAGGATAAGAAATCAACTCTTTGTTATTGACAGGAACTTGTTTCATTGAACCGCAACTGTTGTGTAGAAACAGAAAAGGCAATATAAATGTAGATAAAATTTACCAATGTTCCTGGAGGGCCTGATTTTCTATCTCTAGGCAAGAAGCCAGATCAAGCCCCTCAGAGAGTGACAAGCAATTTTCACTCTACTGGTCAATATCTAGTCACAAAAGGCCAGCAGACCAGCAATGTCAGACCCATAACCACGTGTTTGCCTTGAGGTTTTAAAAGAAACTGAGGCGGCGTTTGTTTTAGTATTCCTTTAAACACACACACCCCTTGGCTTATGGGGGGGGGTTGCTCTTAAATATTCAGAACACAGAGATTTAAAAAGGATGTATGTTCTAAACTTGTGTTAGATGAGTTTTTAAATTTTTATTTAAAAAAAACGGTCACCTGATCGATTTGAAATTTCTTATGATGCAGACGTAAACACAAATGGAAAAACTGGTCCTTGGGAAGTGTCATTTTTAAAATGATATTTCAGTAAAGTATATAAAAGAGTCCTCCAACATGTCTAGGGAACTGATGTAAGAAGTGTTGTTTTTTTTCCCCAGATAAAAGAAGTTGAAGAAAATAAGGTCCCTGAGGACCTTAAAGTAAAAGAGAACAAGAGAAAAGTATTTTTAGTATCTTTAGAACCCGCAGGGGTATGATTTACTGTAATAGAAGAGGCTTTGAAAATGGGAATACTGCAGAGCTCTGACAGCAGTGAAAATGTTTGTTTGAAATGATGGCCTTAGGCAAACCCAGAACAGGCAGCCAGCCATCTTGGGAGCTACTGTTTAGATGAAAACATTCGAAAATATGTTAAAACCCTCCAACGAAGTCTAAAGTGAAGAACAAGTCCTGTTACCACAATATATATATCCATATATATATATACTTCCCCAAGGCACATGCCTTCTAAACCATCTTGAGTCACAGGTGTAAATACATATAAAGTATAGACTGACAGTCTCACTTTCAGAAGCTGTGTGTATTACACAGAGACACGTTTACCACACAACTTTCTCAACTGCTGAAACACACACCCCAGCTTTCTACAGAACATAAGAAATACCTTTATCTTTAGAATTCAACAAAATTTGAATTTTTAAACCTAACTTCCTTGTTGCTTTATTTTCAACTCACTCTGATTTTCTTGAATCATGACTTCTTACCCCCTCTGGCTGATCCCTCAACAGCTCCCAGGGTACCTGTAAAATACATCCTCCCCCCCGCCCCATCTTTTTTTTTTTTTCTTTTTCTCTTAAGTATAGTCGATACACGTTACATCTCAGGTGTACAACTCAGTGATTTGTCAAGTTGATACATTATGTTATGTTTACCACAACTGTAGCTACCATGTGTCCTGTTACATCGTTATTATAGTATCACTGATGGTATTCTTTATGTTGTGCCTTCTATTCTCATGATTTACTCATTCTATAACTGGAGGCCTGTATCTCCCCCTCACCCATTTTGCACCCCCTCCCCCGCCGTGCCCTCTGGCAACCCTCAGTTTGTTCTCTGTATGTATAGGTCTTTTGCCATCCTCTATCAAGGAAACTTGCTTTACTGTAAAGCTTGTTTTTGAGAAGATAATGAAGACATTTCTCAATAATCATCCTTTTAACTAGTACAGTATCTTTTGCTTGTAAGGATTTGTAGTAACTATTTCACTACTTACTTGCTGACTGAAGCCCTTAAGAGTGGTTTCTACCTGTGGATTATATATGTATAACAATAGCCTCAGCTAGAAGAAAAGGAGAAAGGGGTAAGGGATTCCATCCATCAACTGTCATGTGGACTGACCTTCTTATTAGGTGAGATTTCCAAAACAGTGTCCCTTCTAGAGTGGGACTCGGGGAGGGAGGAGTACGAGGCTATGCAGATGATGAATTCCCTCTTTGAATATAAAGAAATGACGATCGGTAAAGGAAACTATTCAAGACTTTGTCTCCCTCCTTTCACAGGTTTTACTCACAACCTAGTAAGAGGTCTTTTATCTCCTTCCCCCATATCCTTCCTATCTTTTTTTTATTAACAGAGTAATCCATGCCACCAGATCCCAAGCCCCAACATGCTTTCTCTCTCATAAATTGGGAACTGTTATTAGCAAAAGGTATACAGAAACATAGATAGATGGGCTAAATCCTCATTCTTCTAGTGAAATTGTGGGTTTTTCTTTGAAAAAGGTTTCTGGTGTCCTTTAAGCTTACAACATCAAATACTACTGTCTGAGATGCTTGTTTCAATGCTGGACTCCTACATGCCAAATGATATTAAGAGCTGTGTAAATATGCACTTTGGTGTAGTATTGCCCAGACACAGACATTCACTGCAAAGCCGACAAATGAGCATTACAACATGGTACCTGTCACCAGGCTAAACCAAAAATGGGAGCCCAAGGATCACCAAAATTTCTTTCACTCACTGGTTGTTGAAAAGACTATTCAAACACTGTATCTGAACACTTGTTTTTGTTGATGGAGACTGACATACAGTTCAACCTAATGAGTGTGTAAGGTGGAGAAACATCCCAGTAACCGATACAGAAAATAGGAAATCCTCACTTGTCCAATGTCCTTTAGCAAGACTCCCAATTCATAAGGGGATCATTCTACCCTAGTCAGTTTCCTTTACCCCAGTTGGTTTTTAAAATGCTGACACAGGAATATAAGGACAATGGGGAGAACAGACTCAATAGCTGATACAATTGCACAGAAGGACACAAATACCTCTTATTTTTGAAAGTTCTACGGAGGACATTTATAAAATACTTAGAAATGTAGCTTCCTTTGCAGTTGGGTAAATTACCGGGGCTTCAAAAATGAAAGCAAAAGGATCTGGGATAAGAAACCTCCAAAATTCTAAGGGAAGTTTGAACCAACCATGCCCATGGTTGGAAGAACAGGTTTTGAATAATTCTAAGAAAATCTCTCATTGCTTTTTATTTTGTCTTACTAGAACATATTAAAAGGAATTGAGAGTCCAGAAGAAAGTAGGTTATATGGAAAACATTCTCCTTGGCCCTCAAAATCACTGGGTTTGGGTTATTTACTGAGAAGTTTGACTATAATCAAGTTTTCCATGAGAAGAGTAGTTTTAGCCAGTGAAATCCCAGCCATCTTCTTCAACAGTACCCTGTAGAAAGGGAAAAGAAAAAACCCTCTTATGTTTGAAAAACTATTATTAGTCTGAAATGAAAGCTATCACCTTCCAAACGAACAGGAGAAAAGGCTGGCTAGTTCAAGTCAGAAGCCCAGTGTGGAGGTTTCCAAGGCCCTTTTATTAGGGGAAGGTCCCCTGTGTAGCACAAGACTTCACATATGTATCAGACAATCAGATCAGTTCCTAAAAATTAGGAAGAAAAGGGAAAAACAAAACAGATGCACTTTTTATATATATTAAACATAAATTAAAAACAATTTATAAAATGGTCACCTTTCTTACAGCATAAATGCTAAGTGTATATGAATGCACCTCCAGGTTTAAGTTGTTGAAGTTGTTTTTGTTTTGTTTTCCAATAATAAATAAATAAAATTTGTTCTTAAGTTTTCGATCCACCTGTGCCACAGCAGGGCTCTGTGTCATTGTTGGCTCTTCTCCCCCTGTCGCTCCTGTGCGCAGCGCTGGGCTGTGCCGGCAGTCTCACTGGCCCGTCAGGGTACTGGCTGTCTTTTCGGGGTGGCATCCGTTCGTTAATTCGGTCCAGTCCTCGGGCTTCTTCAAAACTCCGGATCCTGTGCTGAAGCGAAAACCCTCTGATGGCTACAGGAAAACAGGAAAGGGAGGAGCTCAGTTAGACAGCAAAGCAACAAGCTTAAAGCATGCTAGCACACAGCAACCTCCTAGAGAGTACCATACAGGGTTGGAGCAGACGTCTGGTGAAGGTAAATAGGCAATATTTGATCTGAATCAGACTTGTCTGAAGCTACTGCTTCCTTAAGGCTCAGAGGGCAGCTGACACTGTGGAAGTACTTTTCACAGAAGCTCTATGTAATTAATCATGGCAGAAGCACGCCTGACAAATGGCTAAGAGGTTCGTTCCCAACCGTAACACATTTGAGAGTTTCTTATGGGCCTAAAACATGCTGAGTGTCAGAAAAAAAGGCAATGCTAGAATAACAGAACAAGTTAAACAGAGTAGTTAACTTTAGCACAAATACCATATTGGCCACAAAAAAAGTACCAATAAGAGCTCATCTTTTTGTTTAGAAGGACAGCTTTTTGTCTTGCACGACCAGGAGCTGAATGTAAGTTAAAAGCCATCTGAAAAAGAGCTTCTGGAGATCTTTCTAATTGAATTTTTGTATCACCAAGGGAAGGCCTTCCCATTTTCAATCACCTTACTTAACAGAACAATTAAATTTATAACACATGTTTATCAATTCCAATGATTTTCACCATCAGATTCATAGAGGATTTGTTACTTGAAACTTGTTTTCTTAGAAACAAAGATAATTTAGCCTGACTGCCTTAGTGCAACCTCAGAAATGAATTAAACTAAATCCCTGTCTACTTTTGACTCTGTTCTTGATGTCCTTTAGAATCATCAGAAAAAGAAGCTGACCTGTTTGAGTCTCTAGTATTCAAATAGAAATCACTTCTACAAGGAGGGGCTACTGGATTAAACCACTTGATCCCTCATGACCACTTGCTTAAGCTTCAGCCATCGCATTAAAATTGATGGAGCCCAAGGGCACCTGGGTAGCTCAGTTGGTTAAGTGTCTGACTCTTGATTTCAGCTCAGGTCGTGATCTCAAGGTTCATGAGATCGAGCCCTGTATCAGGCTCTGTGCTGTCCGTGCAGAGCTTACTTGGAATTCTCTCTCTCCTCTTTCTCTGCCCCTTCCCACCTCTCTCAAAAATAAACATTTTACAAAAATAAAAAACAAAAACTGATAGAGCCCAGAGAGGACTTCAACTGTGGAGAAAGTCATCTAAATTAACACCAATACAGGACACAGAGGAAACACTTTATGAGCATGCCTAGAAATACTTAATTCTTTTCTCACTGTTACAGTTCTGACGATGCAATAATTGAAGATTTCAAATGTTGACACAGCTCTTTAAAACTAGCAGACAGACACACGATCACATCTAACACAGGAATATGGCCATACCTTCCCGGGCCTCTACCGCTTCTACTGTGGCTGTAAGAGGCAGGAGCAGTGGCATGCAAAAATGAAGACAGAAAAAGAGTGAGTAAACCAACAGCATTGCTGCCAGCACAGACATCCCAGGCTCCCACCTCAGCCTATTCCCATTCATAACAAAAGTCAACTAGAGAAGCGAGGATTGCTGCGAGAAACTAAATTGCGGGGAAATGTGAGGCGGGGAGAGGGTCTATTATTTTTAACATTTCAGGTGGCATGGGAACCTTTTAAACTAATGGCATCCATAGCTAAGACAATGGGTCAGTCAAGCTGACTACAAACAACCAAGAGTTATGTTGCTTTCCTTATTTTAAATAGCCAACTGCTAATTTACGTCTTGACATTCACGTATCAAAATAGCTTGAATCAAATAATTTAACGTTACAACTGTTCTTTAGTTTCTAACAGCTCAGATGGTATTAAATGAGCTGTTGCTGGGACCTATTCAAAACAGTTATTTAAAACTACTTCCTGCTCTTAAGCAATTTATGTGGGGTCCAACTGTCCTTTTTAATTACTTAATAAAAAAATGAATGGCCTTTGAGTAACAGACTAGCATTTGGAAGGGAACGGAACGTGGGTTATAAGTGAGCGATTATTTCTTGTCCCAGGGGTGGAGTACTAAGCTGGCAAAGGCATAAAACTACTCAATCCTGGATACAAATTCACCTGCCATCTGGGATTAGAGATACAGCAGAAGCTGACATTTCCAACCCATACGGCTTCCATTTACTGTGCAGGAGGGCAGGCCAATTATTAAGGCCTTCTCCTTCGGTGATGGAAAAGGAAGCAATTTAAAGATTAGTGCCAACAGGTAAGTTTCCTAGTATCATCTTTTTAAAACAGTAAAAACTCGAATATATGAAAAGGTCACAGGTTGTAGCAAGAAAGATCCTACTAGAAGAACCCTCTCAGTTCCTCCAGTACCAATTTTTAAAAAGAAGTCAGGAAAGAATAATGAACAGTAACAGTTTGCTGTCCTGAAGTTTTATGTGTCAATAAGAGAGGAGAAACTGGAAGAACTGACAGTTAACTTCCTATCACAATGTGAGAAATGGAAACTTGGAATCAATTTATCAAGTGCTTAAATATGTCAGCCATTTGTAGGCCTGTGGTAAAGCAATGTCACACCCTCCCTAATCTCCTCAAATAGAATAAACTTTCACAAGAAAACGATAGTGCCTTCAAACAGTATATCACTGGTGCTATTACAAAGCTGACGAACAAAGTGCAGCCTGAAACTGTATACAGATTGTTGTTCTAATTGGAGTTTAAAAGCTATGTAGTAAAATATGTACTAGTATTGCACTGTTTTGGGTCCTCCTAGAACTGCTTTTTGCATTGGGTATTTAGATACCAGCCTGCATTAAAGGACATTATAAGAAATAGTCCCATAAAACTGAGAAACTGGTTTATTTTATTTATTCATATTTATATATATTTTTCTCATTTTATTATATTTATTGAAATTTTATTTCTTTGTTGAAATACCTTTCTCTACTGAAATATAATTCATACACCATAAAATTCACTTGCTTAAAGTGTGCAATTTGATATAGAGTTGTACAACCAACAGGACAGTCTGTGGTCAGAACATTTTCATCACCCCAAAAAGAAACCTATTTACCTCCCGCCTCCCTTCCCCTGATCCTAGAGTCAACCAATAATCTACTTTCTGCCTCTACAGATTTGCCTGTTCTGGACATTTCATATAAATGGAATCACACAATATGTGACTTTAGTGACTGGCTTCTTTCATTCAGTCTAATATTTTTAAGGTTTATTTATGTTGAAACCTGCATCAGTATTTCATTCCTTTTTATGACTGAATAGTATTCTATTCTGTGACTATCCACCTCATCAGGTGATAGGCATCTGGGCTGTTTCCACTTATTGGCTCTAATGAAAAATGCTGCTTTGGGGCACCTGGGTGGCTCAGTCAGTTGAGCATCTGACTTTGGCTCAGGTCACGATCTCATGGTTCATGAGTTCAAGCCCCACATAGGGCTCACTGCTGTCAGTGCGGAGCCTGCTTTGGATTCTGTGTTCCCCCTCTCTCTGCCTTTCCCCCCTTGTACTCTCTCCCAAAAATAAATAAAACATTTTAAAATTAAAAAAAAGAAAAAAATGCTGCTATGAACATTTCTGTACAAGTCTTTGTGTGAATACGTTTTCATTTCTCTGAGGTATTCAACTACAAGTGAAACGGCTGCTCATAAGGTCAACTGTATGTTTAATCATCCAAAGAACTCCCAGATTGGTTTCCAAAGTACCACATCATTTCACATTTCCACCAGCAGCGTATGAGGGTCCCAATTTGTCCACATCCTCACCAACACTTGTTATTATTCTACTGGGTGTAGTGGCATCTAATTGTGGTTTTGATTTGTATTTCCTTAATGTCTAACGATGTTGAACAACTTTTCACATGCTTATTGGCCATTTGTATGTCTTTGGAAAAATGTCTACTCAACTTTTTTACCCATTTTTTAAGTTGTCTTTTTTTTTTTTTAGAGTTAATCCTCTCTTTTTTTAAATTTTATTGTTTTAAATTTACATTCAAATTAGTTAGCATATAGTGCAACGATTTCAGGAGTAGATTCCTTAATGCCCCGTACCCATTTAGCCCACCCCCCGCCCACAACCCCCCCAGTAACCCTCTGTTTGTTCTCCATATTTATGAGTCTCTTCTGTTTTGTCCCCCTCCCTGTTTTTATATTATTTTTGTTTCCCTTCCCTTATGTTCATCTGTTTCGTCTCTTAAAGTCCTCATATGAACGAAGTTATATATTTGTCTTTCTCTGACTAATTTTGCTTAGCATAATACCCTCCAGTTCCATCCACGTAGTTGCAAATGGCAAGATTTCTTTCTTTTTGATTGCCGAGTAATACTCCATTGTATATATACACCACATCTTCTTTATCCATTCATCCATCGATGGACATTTGGGCTTTTTCTATACTTTGGCTATTGTTGATAGTGCTGCTATAAACATGGGGGTGCATGTGTCCCTTTGAAACAGCACGCCTGTATCCCTTGGATAAATACCTAGTAGTGAATTGTTGGGTCATAGTGTAGTTCTATTTTTAGTTTTTTGAGGAACTTCCATACTGTTTTCCAGAATGGCTGCACCAGCTTGCATTCCCCCCAACAATGCCAAAGAAATCCTCTTTCTCTGAATCCTCGCCAACATCTGTTGTTGCCTGAGTTGTCTTTTTATTATTCAATTATAAGAGTTCTTTAAATTCTTTAGATACCAGTCCCTTATCAAATGCATGATTGTTAATATTGTCACTCATTCTATGGCTTGTCTTTTTACTTTCTTCATGATGGCTCAGTTTGCAGCACAAATGTTAATTCTGATGCAGTCCAATTTATACCTAATCTATTTTTTTATTTTATGGTCTTTGTGAATCTGTTCAGTTCTTGGCACTCCTCTTTATTTTGGTATTAGGAAGCTTGTAGTAAAAGTTGTGGCTATTGGCTTGTTTTGTTTTGTTTTCCTTTGTGCTCCAAATTCCCAGCTTCTTTACTTTACTTCCCTGTATTATGTGTGTACTGTAACTTACTCAATTCCCTCGTGGAACAAGGTAAGATGTAAGTGAATGCATGTTATAAGGCCATATGGGATATTGTTGGTTGAAAGGTCTCCAAGTAAAGTTACAGGAACAATAGGGTAGAGGAGAGCAGAGAATGGGTGATGGGCACTGAGGAGGGCACTTGTTGGGATGAGCACTGAGTGTTGGATGCAAGTGATGAATCATGGGAATCTACCCTTAAAACCAGGAGCACACTGTACACACTGCATGTTAGCCAACTTGACAATAAATTATATTAAAAAATAAAATTAAATCACGTAAATAATTTTTAAAAAAGTTACAAGAACAATAAAAGGTCTTTTTTAGCTAATGTTCCAGTTTGCCAATGAACCTACAGAACTGAGACTCTGATGGGAAAATGACAAAATAAGCTCAGTTCCTGTCAATCAGTGAGAGAGATAAGGAGGCTAAAAAGCTGGCTCCACCTTCAGTTCTGTTCTTACACGTTCCTGAAGATGTCTATCAATGAAAAACCTTATGTGATTAAAACACTAATATTCCAATTAGGAATGAAGAAAACAATATACTTGGGACTGAGAACAGAAGGCAGATCAAAGATTATAAACAAACAAATCTCCAAACAACACATCTATAAAATTCTCTTCATTATTCATCTCTGATTGGCTCTTTCAAGGTCCAGATTAACACAACAACTTTGTGGATCAGCAAGTTTCCAAAACTTTTCAAGAAAGGCTGTAGAAGACACTCCCTTCTTCTTCACCCATGGTGTTTCCAACTAATTCCAACCTACCAAAACTGCTCTCAGAGTAGCTCACATGACTAATTACCAAAGTAACAGTGGGAAGTATTGCCTCACAAGAAACTGCACATTTATTTGAGAGAAAAAATTCAATCTAAAATAGTTTACTGATCCTTTTTATGAAACTAAACAAATTAAGAAAATTAGTTATATACTTCTAAGGAGAAAATGTTTATTTCCTCCTTCTAAATAGCTGAACTCTAACATTCCAGTATTTAATTTGAAAGAGAAGGAGAAAATCAATCCTATAAAAAGAAAAGGGAAAAGGGGGCTTGTTCCTAGTAATCAACATCAGTGGACTTTCCACAAAATGGAAAGGATTCCTGTAAGTAATGGGATGACAAGAAAAAAAAAAAAAAAAACTTAAATAGAAACAATTCAATAAAATAAGGGGGCAAAAAGCAGTGAAACTCTAAGTTGCTAATGCTTCGACTCCAGTTTTTGTGCCTAGAATTAATTGTCTTGCTTGACCAGATCTATGTCTATTCTGACAAATATTGATCTTTTCATTCCAGGGTTCCATAAAGCCCTCTCCTTACAAGCCAGCACCCACACACTTTTTAGAACAGACACTCTGGGGGCGCCTGGGTGGTGCAGTTGGTTAAGCGTCGGACTTCAGCCAGGTCATGATCTCGCGGTCCGTGAGTTCGAGCCCCGCGTCGGGCTCTGGGCTGATGGCTCGGAGCCTGGAGCCTGTTTCCGATTCTGTGTCTCCCTCTCTCTCTGCCCCTCCCCCGTTCATGCTCTGTCTCTCTCTGTCCCAAAAATAAATAAACGTTGAAAAAAAAAAAATTTTAGAACAGACACTCTGTTTGGATAGGTGACATGGCAGTGGAGTAGAACATGGCTTGTAGGCAGAGGCAAACTCCCTCTCTGAGACATTCTAACACCCAAAATTAAGGTATAAAATATACATTAGGTGAGGCATATCATGTGCACGAATCTGAAGTGCACAGCTCTATACGTTTTTATGTATGAATACACTTGTGTAACTACTACCCAGAGAGTGATACAGAACACCCCCACTACTCCAGAAGTCCCTTCTGCTCCTTCGGGGTCAATTAGTCTCCCACCAGAGGAAGTGCCATTCTATTCCGACTTCTATTACCATTTGGCTAGTTTGCCTATTCTTGAACATTCTGTAAACCAGACAGTCTGTGCCATTTTGTGCCTAGCTTTTTGAGTTTACCATAATGTCTGTGAGGTTCAACCCTGTTTTTGCATGTATTCGTAATGTGATTTTTCATTGCTGTGTAGTATTCCATTGTATAAATAGAACACATTTATCTATTCTACTATTGCTGAACATTTGGGTTGCTTCCCGTTTGGGGCTATTATGAATAAAGCCACAGTGAACATTCTTATGCCTATCCTTTGGAGGACATACGCACTGATTCTCTTCAATATATACCAGGTATTATTGCTGGGTTGCAGGGTAAGACATATGTTTTTGCTTTACTGCCCAACAGTTTTCCAAAGTGGCTGAACCAATTTCCAAGTACACTAACAATGTATCTAGTTCTCTTGTCCATAAATTCACCAACACTTGGTGTTATTAGACTTTTAATTTTAGCCATTCTGGTGAATATGTAGTGGCATCTCACTGCGATTTTAATATCTATTTCCCAGATAACTTTATTAAGCATCTTTTCATATGCTCATTGGCCATTTTGATACCCTCTTTTGTGAAGTGCCTGTTAATATCTTTTGACATTAAAAACATTAGTTGTGTGGGGCGCCTGGGTGGCTCAGTCAGTTAAGTGTCTGACTTCGGCTCAGGTCATGATCTCACGGTTTGTGAGTTCAAGCCCCACGTCAAGCTCTGTGCTCAAGCCTGGAGCCTGCTTTGAATTCTGTGTTTCCCTCTCTCTCTGCCCCTCACCCACTTGCACTCTGCCTCTCTTGTTCTCTCTCAAAAATAAACATTAAAAAAAATTACAGGGGCGCCTGGGTGGGTCAGTCAGTTAAGCGGCCGACTTTGGCTCAGGTCATGATCTCGTGGTCCGTGAGTTCGAGCCCCGTGTCGGGCTCTGTGCTGACAGCTCAGAGCCTGGAGCCTGTCTCAGATTCTGTGTCTCCCTCTCTCTGACCCTCCCCTGTTCATGCTCTCTCTGTGTCTCAAAAATAAATAAACGTTAAAAAAAAAAATTTTTTTTTAATTAAAAAAAATTACAAAACAAAACATTAGTTGTGTTTTTCTTATTGAGTTTGTAGTTCTTTATATATTCTGAATTCAAGCCCTTTGTCAGACATACATATTGCAAAAAATCTTTTCTCAGTTAATGGCTTGCCTTTTCCCTTTCTTAATCATATATTTTTGTAAATAGAAATTCTTAAGTTTTTTTTTTTTAGAAATTCTTAGTTTTATGGAATTTAGTTGATTTTTTTTCTTTTAAGGTTAGCACTTTTTGTGTCCTATATAAGGACTTTTTATCTACCCCAATACTCTCCATCCTTTCTTCCAGGAGTTTTATTGTTTTTATCTTTTATATTTAAGTTATAATTAATTTTGAATTAATTTTCATATGTAAAGAGAAGAGTCAAGATTCACTTTTCCCCCAGATGGATGTCCAATTGCTCCAGTATCATTTCTTCAAAGAAGCCCTAATTTTAGATTTTATGTTGACTGCTGGGTAATGGGAGCACATATTCCATGAAAGCAGTATTTCTCAGACTCACCTGTCTCAATAGTCTGCTTTCCTCCTGAGAGGACACCTAGAGGGAGTGTCCCTGTAGGCGTCAGGCCCTTGAGAGTCAGCACACTCTCACTCTCTTCCCTGCAAAGGAAGGTGAAAGTCCTGCATTAACGCCAGGGTGTCCACCACTCAGCAGTTCAAAGATACTAGAAGGAAGTTAAGAAAGGATGCACAGAGATGGAGGACAGGTTCTCCTTCTTCCTACCCCTTCCCTGACCCAAAGAAACATGTTTTATGAAAATGTTCCAATTTTAAACCACCAGCCAGTTCTTGCTTCTCAATTAGAGGTACTTAATAGGCAGCCGCTGTTCTAATGTTTCCCATATATCATACCATTTAATCCTCCTAATAACCGTATAAGGCAGGTCTGGTTATTGTCACTCTATTACAGACAAGGAAACTGAGGCTCCAAACCATTCAGCTAAGAAGAGGTAGAGCCAGGATGTGAACAGGCAATCTGGATCCAAGAATTCACACTAAATCACTCCATTCACTATACCTAAGCTTGTACCAAATGAATGTTTGCCAAAACATTTCTAGTCACTTTAATAGATAGGTCAGATTCAATCTGCACTCCGCTTTGAAGACCTATCCAATTGTACTACACTTTAATTCTAAAAAAAAAGCTGTTCTAAAATCAGCTTCTAATTGTCTCTCAAAATACTTTTATCCCATACTGTAATGACAGATTTATCCTCACCGCAGAATTGAAAAGACCCGTGCCATCTTCCCAATGGCTCTGATTTTATTCTTGATGATCTCCTTTCGAACTGTAGTGCCTCCTTAAAGAATACAAAGAATAAGTGAGTTAAAAGAATGTGTTAACAAGGTTAGTTTTAAAATATGCAGGATGAAGTATCTTTCTAACTTAAAGAAATTATTGTTTTAAAAAAAGAAATCAAGGCCTAAGTGTGTTTAAACAAACAAAAATCCCAGGAAGTTCTAAGGAGCAAGAGAGAAAACAACCCAGAAGAAGGGGGGAAAAAAAGATGGAAGTAAAAATGGAGGGGTCACAACAAAGACAGACTGGATGGATCTATGAAAGGTAGGAACTTATTTGTGGTTCTGAAATGTAGAACACAGCAAAGAATGAAATATACACATAAACAAAGACAGCTGCTACAGCAAAGACCTCTTTTGCAAATGCTGTGGGCCACCTTAGGATGCAGGGTTTGGCCTGCCAAATGGCAAGTGATGATTCAAGCAGTTATCTTCTGCATATAGACAGCTAGCTCTCCTGAACTTAGTGAGGGCTACTTTCATTCTATAATCCTCACTTACTCACAGACTGGTGAGTTACTGCCTACCATAGACAACTGTGTGGTACAAATCATGATGATGGGTAAGGTCTTTATAAAGCAACATCAAAAAAAAGTTACCACAACATTTTATGGCCTTTTCCCATCTATGATTCAGGAAACAGCTCACGTATGAGAAGCCAAGGTCCAGGCATGCACCAGGTGACCACATTCAAAAGTCAGAAAGAGAAACATGGTCTCTCCTTCCTCACCCCTCCAGCTCTCAATATCCTGCAGAATTATATGGCAGGTCCAGAGAAAACACTCACATTAAAACAGAAAGGGAGGATGGAGAGCCTGTCTGAAATTACTCAACTACAACTAAAAAGATCCAATAAAATTAATAGACTGTGTGTGACAGACAGCGAGTAGTAAGCTCTTAGCACATTTTAGTCGGATACCTTTCCGATAGCTTGAAATGTAGTGATCTTCAGGGAGAAGAGACACCAAGAAACAAGGAGATGAAGATAGAAATATGAGAAGAGAAATTTAAGTTTACATGGAAGAGAGAAAAAAAATCAAAGTGAAATGCAATGAGAGAAGCAGGCTACTATCTTTATCAGCTCAGAAGAGACATCCTTGGTATCATGATAGAACATTAAATTACAAATTTCTTGTCAGCAGTTTTCCATTTCTTAAAGTTCATAGTTTTACATAATTTCACATCTGTTTTTATCTAACATATCCCATCCCCACAAATCATGAAAATAAAATTAGACAAAGAAAAAGATACTACTTAAGAAACAAAACGATGCTAAAAACAAGGAACAAAAAACAAAGGACAGAATGAAAAGCCTACAAATCTCATAATAAGAGCAATATGTTTTTGTTTAATGGATTCACTATCTTCCTATACCTTTTTGGAGATATTATAGGTTTTCCTTTTTTAAGTTTTATATTTTCTTGAGAATCTCAAGTTCATTCACATTGTTTTTTGCTGTTTGTATTGTTGTTTGACTGACTCCAAGACTTTCCTGAGGTGGATGGTAATCCTTGGTGTTGGCTCCTGATTAGGAATGAGGGCCTAAAAGGCTCTCAGAGTTGCCAGGTAGACTGCAGACTTGGAGCTTTACAGGTTGTGATCAGGGTGAACTTTTGTTAGGGAATTCTCTTTATCAGTATTGAGGATGCACATGGCTGCTTAGTTCACTGGTTTGGGGCCAGGTAATGATGCCCTCAGCTGTATTCCTAACCCAGAAATTCTTTGGTTACACTTTTTTTTAGAGATTTGCCTCCAGACCTGGAGGAGAGGCAACTGCCCAGTGGCAATTAGGATTTTAACTGCCTTTGAAACAGCTTCCACCTAGTCTTTTTTTTTTTTTTTTAAGCTCAGTGCCCATCCCCTTACTCCCCCTAACCCAGTCCCCAATTCTAGAAATTGTACTACCAATTCCTTTGCTTTTTGAGGATTCTGTGCTATAATTCAGCATTCCACATTACTTTAGCTTTCTTGAATTAGCTAAGTGAGGAACACAAATTATTCATGTTTCCCAGCTTCTAGAAGTTCCTATAAAAATCTCCACATTTTTCTAGGTTTATCACTTTTTTATTGTGAGGTATGATAAACATACAGAAAAGTGCACAAAACAAATGTAAAATGTCTCTCTCTTCCCAAAGAAAATCACTCTCTGGACCTTTATTGAAATCACTTTCTTGCTGTTCTTTATAGTTTTACATGTAAGCGTGTGGGTATCCACAAACACTATGGTTTTCATTGTGTTTTAACTTTCTGTATTTAGAACAATCAAATATGTATTTCTGTGTCTGGCTTCTTTTGCTCAACATTATGTTTGTAAGACTGATCCATGTTTTGCCCATTATAGTTCACGGTTATTACTGTATACAATTCCACCATATGAATATGCCACAATTTTCCTTTTTACCATCAGTGGTTATTTGGTCTAATTCCAATTTTTGGCTATTGTGAATTCAACTGCTATGAATATTCCTATGCGTTTCTCTTTACTATTTCTGTTAAGTACATTCCTAGAATTAGAACGATCAGTTACAGGGTATGTATATGTTCAACTTTGGATAAGTTAGATATTATCTACTAAAGTGGACGTACGAAGTTATATTTCAGTGTATGAGCATTCCCGCTGCTACACGTCCAGGCCAGCACTTGGTGTCATCTTTAATTCATCTTTAATTTTAGCCAATCTGGTGGGTGTATAGAATCAGCCAGTGTGGTTTTAATTTGCATTTTCACAATCACTAATGTGGATGGATATCTTTTTATATCTTCACAGACCATTTTGATATTCTCTTTTGTGACGTACTTATTCAAGTCTCGTCTAACTGACCTGGAGTTCTTCATATATTCTTCAAGTGAACTCTTTGTTGATTGTGTTGCAAATACCCTCTCCCACTCTGTACCTTGACTTTTCACACTCTTAAAAGGGTCTTTTGATAAATATAAATTCTTACTTTTAATGTAGTCCAACTTATCAATAGTTTCCATATGGTAAATGTTTTCTGTGACCTGTATTTAAGAAATTGTCGTCTTCCCGCAAGGTCATGAAGATTATAAATATTGTATTATAAATACTAGAGGCTTTATTTTTGTATTATAAATACTAGAGGCTTTATTTTTTTGCCTTTCATATATGAATTATTAAAAAAAAACTTTATGTTCATTTATTTTTGACAGAGAGACAGAGCATGAGTGGGGGAGAGGTAGAGAGAGAGGGAGACACAGAATCTGAAACAGGCTCCAGGCTCTGAGCTGTCAGCACAGAGCCCGATGCGGGGCTCGAACTCACAGACTGCGAGATCATGACCTGCACTGAAGTCGGATGCTCAACCGACTGAGCCACCCAGGTGCCCCTCATATATGGATGTATTAATCCGTCTGGAATTTATTTTGTGTTTGAAATATGATATGAGTCAGGTTTAATTTTTTTCTCAGATATCCCCAAAACACTTATTAAAAATACCATCATTTCCCCACTACTCTGCAGGACCACCTCTGGTGTAAATCAAGTGTCCACAAATGCTGTGATGTTTCTGGATTCTCTACTCTGTTTCAGTGCTCATCTGTCCTTGCACTAATAATCCTAAATGCTCTAGCTTTGCAGTAAACCTTGATCTTCTTCAAGACTTAAACTATTTCCACACTAATTTTAGAACCTATCCTCAGCATTTTCATACAAATTTTAGAATCTATCCTCAGTATTTCCATATAAATTTTACAGTCAAATGGTCTGTTAATAGTTGACTTTGTACTGAATCCACAGATCAATTTGGGAATAACATATCTTTACAATATTGAGTTTTCCAAAACTCAATGTACATTTTATTTCTTTCCATTTATTTAGATCTCCTTTAATTTCTCTAATAATGTTTTATAGTTTGTTGCTTAGAGGTATCACACACCACTGGTCAGACTTATTGTTAGGGAGAATACTGTAAATGGCACCTTTAAAATTTCATTTTGCTTGTTGCTGGTAATAGAAACACAAATGATTTTTGCTTATTAACTTTGTATCCAGCAGCTACATGCCTTTGTTGATTTTAACAATCTATAAATTCCTTTGAATTTTCTCTACACACAGTCAAATCACCTATAAATAATGATAGCTTTGTTTCTCTCTTTCTAATCTTTATACCCTATGATGCTTTTTCTTGCCTTATTATACTGGGTATAACTTCTTTTTTTTTTTTTTTTTTAACATTTATTTATTTTTGAGACAGAGAGAGACAGGGCATGAATGGGGGAGGGTCAGAGAGAGAGGGAGACACAGAATCCGAAACAGGCTCCAGGCTCTGAGCTGTCCGCACAGAGCCTGACGCGGGGCTCGAACTCGCGGACCGCGAGATCATGACCTGAGCTGAAGTCGGACGCTCAACCGACTGAGCCACCCAGGCGCCCCTACTGGGTATAACTTCTAATGCGGTATTATATGGAGGTATTAATAACTGACAACCTTACCTGTTCCCAATCACTAAGGAGAACTTTCAACATCTTGCCATATGATGTTTGCAATAGGCTTTTATAAATATGTTAAAGAATTCCTCTCCAAGCCTAGATTAATGGATCTATTGCAAAAGAAGGATGAATCTTACCTAAAGCTATCTCTACATCGATGGTTTTTAATGCAGTGAATTATACTGATTTTTTTAAATAAAATTTTTATTTTAGAATAGTTTTAGACATTCAGCAAAGTAGTGAAGACTCTATGGAGTTCACATACACCCCTCTCGCAATTTCCACTAGTATTAAGATTTTACATTAGTAATACTGATTAAATTTTTAATGTTAAATCTTCCAACTTGGTTGGGAGGCAGAATTCTTTTATGTATATTGCTAGTTTCAATTTGATGATGTTTTGTTTAGGATTAATGTCCTTTCACATTTTAGGATCATAGTTATAGTAACCCCACTAAATTATAGGGGAGCATTTCTTCTTTTTATTTTCAGGAAGAATTTGTTTAAGATTGGTGTTGTTTCTTAAATGTTTGGTAAATCTGTTGGTGAAGTTATCTTCACCTGGAATTTTCTTCATAAAATTTTTTTTAAATTATAGATCCTGTTTCTTGGTAGGACTGTAGTTATTAAGATTTTCTATATGGTGTCAGTTTGGGTAAGTTAGGTTTTTCAGGAATCTGTCCATTTCATCTAAGTTTTAAAATTCACTGGTATAAATTTATTCTCATTATTTTTTTTTAAATGTTTATTTATTTTTGATGGGGGGATGGCACAGAGAGAGAGGGAGACACAGAATCTAAAACAGGCTCTAGGCTCTGAGCTGTCAGCGCAGACCCTGACAAGGAGCTCGAACCTATGAACTGGGAGATCATGACCTGAGCCGAAGTCAGATGCCTAACCCACTGAGCCATCCAGGCACCCCTATTCTCATTATTTTCTTAATGTCTATAGGGTCCGATGTCTCCATTTTGTTTACTTCGTAAGTCTTACCAGGGATTTATCAATTTTATTAAGTCTCTTTTAAGAGCACAATTTGGTTATTACTGCTTTTCTGTATCTTTTTTCCTATTTTGTAACAATATTCTTTTTATTTCATGACATCTATTTTCTTTAGGTGTAAAGTGCTATCTACCCTTTGTCAACTTTTTGAGATAGATGCTGCCTTTCTGCCTTTCTCCTTTTCCAAATATGTATTTAAAGCCATAAATTTTCCTCTAAGCATGGCTTTAGATACACCCAATTTTTGTTCCCCCCCAAGTTTAAATCGGTTTGAGTTTAAGCACTGATTTTATACTACAAATGTAGTATAAGATGAACTAAATTTACAACTTAATTTGTTCGTGGAAGATGCCTTACAAAACATTGCAACTAAGACATATGCAAGATTTTATATGCATTTTGGAAGAACTCACACCGAAAAAGCAGCTGATTAGTCATTAAGCTTGACCACTTTCACATCTTTTGGTCAGTTCTCCACAGTCATGACAGAGGAGAGTCACT